CGGGAACCGGTCTGTATGTGGGATCCGAACCCTTGGTGGGAGCGCTGCCGCGCTCCCAAGCAGCGCACTGTAGCAGTGCGCCACCGGGCCGGCCCATAAAATGATATTTTTGATGCATTTCCTAAGAGCGTGGGCTCTGGAGTTTGATGGCTTGGGTTTGAATCCCAACTCTGATTTCTACAAGTTATATGACGTTGGGTAATACTTTAATTTCTTTGGATCTCAGTTTCATATTCTGTAAATGGGAGTAATAATGGTATCTGCTTCAGGGGGTGGTTGAGTGGATTCAGAAGTGATAGTGCCAGTGAAGCTTTTAGTTTGGGGTTTGTCACATAGTAAATGTTCAGTAAATCTTAGGCTGTTGCTGTTATTAGCAGCCCTTTATTCTACATATATTACATGTGATTTTTCTCTTTAAAATGTGTAGTTTTAATAGCAAAAGAATTAGAAGCCATGTAAGTGTACATCAGCAGGAGACTACCAGATAAATCAAGGTTCATCCACACAGTGGCATCCTGTGCCACTATAAAGAACATGAAAAGTTCTTACATACTGACATGGAATGATCTCTCAAATATGGTAAATGAAAAAAGTGATATGTGTAGTATGTTAGTGATTGGTTAAAAGAGGAGTAAGATACATTTGCTTATTTTTGCACAGAATCTTTAGAAGGACCCACAAGAAGCTGGTAGCATTGATTGCCTTTGAGGAAGGGAAGTGGGAGCTGAGGACTGGGGTGGAAGAAGAGTTTCCACTGTATCATTTAGGGCCTTTTGTAATTTCCTTTCTGGTTTTTCTTGCCCTGTAGCATTCTCTTCACCCCAGGAAGAAGAAGAAGCTGGATTCACTGGACGCAGAATGAATTCCAAGATGCAGGTGTATTCTGGTTCCAAGTGTGCCTATCTCCCCAAGATGATGACTTTGTACCAGCAATGCATCCGAGTACTTAAAAATAACATTGATTGTAAGTCACATGCTTCTCTCTAGCTCTCAAGCTCATTATAGCACTGGGACCTTATCATTGGGTGGCTTGGCCACTATTCAATGCTTTCACCTTTGATTTCTCTGCAGCAATCTTTGAAGTAGGAGGAGTCCCATATTCTGTTCTTGAACCCATTTTAGAGAGGTGTACACCTGATCAGCTCTATCGCATAGAGGAATATAATCACGTGAGTATCCTGTTTGGATGGGAAGAGGGCAGTTTTCTGGCTTGTGTCTCCAGAAGTAACTTTGTGAATCTGCTGTGGCTGAAGGGCAGACCGGTGGTCAGATCACTGTTCTGGGCATGTTTGATTTGCCTCTGGGCCTTTATTTAATTAATTAATTAATTTATTTATTTTTAAATAGATGACCAGTAAGGGGATCTTAACTCTTGACTTGGTGTTGTCAGCACCACGCTCTCCCAAGTGAACCATGGGCCGGCCCATGCCTCTGGGCCTTTTAACAAGCATATTTTTAGCACCTGCTTCAGGCATCTTAAGTGGGCCTTTTGGGCTAGAATCAGGGTGGGATTTAAAGGTAGTGAAAAATATATCCAGTACCTCCCTTGAGCTTGCCTCGTCATAAAGTCAGGGGAGAATTCTGGCAGCAGAGCACCTGCGATCCAGGGTGACGATGGCACTTTTGTGTTGACACTCAGGTGTCCGGTGAATATAAAAGAGCACAGATTGGCTGGGTGTCTCCTAAAGACATCAGGATCTATCCCCAAATCCTTCTTATAATGTGGATGTATTCATTTGATTGAATTAGCTGTCCCTCTTTAATTCTGAGAGATCTATAACATAACCATCTTCCTAGGTGGCCCCTTGCCATTACAGTTCAGTGTGGTGCCAGGGAAGTGCCTGATTTGACTTCATCCCAGCTCTATAATTTACTGATTTTCTAAAGAAAAAGACTGATCTTAAACTAACTTTTGTGCCATTTTCTCTCACAACCACCCAAAAGTAACTAGTATAGTGCCTTACATTTAACATTTTTTAAATTTAGTGACTTGTTTCTTTCCTAGAATTGTAGTGTTTTTATTACACTACTACTATGAAGACCAAAAAATTATTAGGAAACTGGTCACTCCTATGTGATTAAAGGATGGAAAAGCAATGTAAGAGTGCTTTTATATAAATGGTATCCTGGTACTGATTTCAGGTATTAATTGAAGAAACAGATCAATTATGGAAAGTTCATTGTCACCGAGACTTTAAGGAAGAAAGACCAGAAGAATATGAGTCATGGCGGGAAATGTACCTGCGGCTTCAGGATGCCCGAGAGCAGCGGCTACGAGTATTAACGAAGAATATCCAATTTGCACATGCCAATAAGCCCAAAGGTAAAGTGGCGGTGAGGGGGTGCTGGGGGTGCTCTGGTTGACAGCAGGGTCTTGGTGGGCCTGGCTGATGTAGGACCACTAGCCCCTGAATCGGTCTCTCATGCATTTGCAGAAGGTGGGCAGGGTTGGGTGTTTCAGAAGCCACAGCCCATGCTACCCTATGGTGGGGTTTTCAGTGTTGATAATCCCTTAGCTTTGTGGGTACTTGAAAAGCCTGTAGATTTAAACAGTAGCATCTCTGTTTAGGAAGGCAGACGCTAATCTCCATATTTCTCCACAGGCCGAAGAGCAAAGATGGCCTTTGTCAACTCTGTGGCCAAGCCACCTCGTGACGTCCGAAGGAGGCAGGAGAAGTTTGGAACAGGAGGAGCAGCAGTCCCTGAGAAAGTCAGGTAAGACCTCTGCTCCTACTTGGTTTTTGCCTCCTCAGGGAAGAGAACCAAGAGCTTGTCATCAGCCCTAAGAGATAGCCATAGAGGCAGGATGTGACTCTTTTGGGGGGGGTGAAAGCAAGGCAGTGCAGAGTGTGGGTTCTGGAGGCAGACTTTGACTAGCTCAACATTTTACCTCCTCGGGCCTCAGTTTCCTAAATTGCAATGTGGGGCTGGTAATTATTCCTGCCTTTCGGGGGTGGAGGGGTCAAAATTTAATGGAGAAGGCCTGGTTTATGGGAAATGTTCTCTTATGCTTTCCGTTTCCCCGTTTAAACAAAACATTTTTGTGATAACTAAATCATTTAGTCTAAGCCACAGTAGCATTTTCCATACACAGACTGACACCTCAACAGTGAAAGATTAGTTGAGATTGTCATTCATTCTGAAAGATGGATGCAGTCATCTCTGAGCCACCATCAGAATCCAGGGTGCTAGGGTCCCCTAGTCAAAGCCACCAAATGAGTTGCCCTCAAACTGGCCAGCTTCAGGCTGTTCCTGCTGAGGGCAGATTTCTCATGCTCAGGCTAACCGGCTTTGTTCGGTGTTACAGGATTAAGCCAGCCCCGTACCCCACAGGAAGCAGCCATGCTCCTGCCAGCAGTGGCAGCAGCAACAGCTTTAACCCCAGCCCCGAGGAGCCGGCCTATGATGGCCCAAGCACCAGCAGTGCCCATTTGGCACCGGTGGTCAGCAGCACTGTTTCCTATGATCCTAGGAAACCGACTGTGAAGAGTAAGTAACTTGAGTTCCTGTTCAGATATTTCAAAACTAGTTTCTGAACCCCTTTAATGTCATTGCCACTGTACTACGTTTTGTGCATTGGATACAGTGTGCGTATGATGCTTTGCACATAGCCGGTCTGAATGTCAGTCCCTCCTTTTCCCTGCTTTGTCCATAGTGCACATGTAAATAATGATCATAGTGAATATTCATTTTGGCACTCTGTTTTTTTCGCCTATATATAAACCTGTTTCTCTAGGCACAGATGTAAACACAGGGTTCATAATTATTATTAATAGCTAAATAACAGTCCATCTTACTGAGGTTTTATAGCCTTATAACTCTAGCTTCCAAATATCTATTCTTTATATCGAGTTGGGTCTATTTTTAATTTTATTAACTTTATTACTGTAGTCTATCCCCAGTATCCTAAAGAGGTAAGAAAAGTATTCTGTATTCATTGCAGGGCCCATGGGGGGTGCCATTCCTGACTTAAGCTTTAGCTGTGCTCAGGTTAATCAGTCAAGAGGCAAGCTAGCCCTCCTTATGTGGTATTTGCACAGCTCATCTGAGACTTGTTGCTACACTGGGCAGATTGGGAGGTAGGGGTGCTGTTTATTGGTTTGGATATTTGTAGGGCAGAAGAGTTGTAGTTTTGGAGGTATTTTTCGGGGGGGGGGTTGGCAGCTGGCCAGTATGGAGATCCACACCCTTGACATTGGTATTATAAGCATAAGGCTGAGCTAAATTATGGCTAAGTATTGCCTTTAGAGTCTCACAAGGATTGAATTCCAGTTCTGCCACTTACTGTCCAACCATGGGCAAGTTGGTCAGCCTCTGAGCCTCGGTGCAGGTAGTTAGAATTAGAGATAGTGTTATGTGCCTGACAGGTCCTCAGAAAGTGTTTGTTCTGTGCTGTGGCTTTTATTGCAAAGAATAGCAAGGCTTGGCTTTGACTGCAAACCACTGGTGGTGTGCTTCTAAGCTACCACAGCTCTGGAACAACTGCCTCATTTCTCTTTTCACAGAGATTGCCCCGATGATGGCCAAGACGATTAAAGCTTTCAAGAATAGATTCTCCCGACGATAAACTGAGGACTTGCTTTGGAGATGGAATTGGGGGTGGCAGGAATACAAAGACAATGGGAGTTGTGGAATGGAACTTCCAAAGGAGACTGGAATTTTTTGCTTTATGGAAACTTTTGATCTCTGAATCCTGCACAGTTTGCTGGTGTTTCCCCCGCGAACCTGCGTGCCACAGCCCCTGCCCCTGCCTGGAGCACACTTCAGAATTCTGAAGAAGATGTGAAGCCTCAGTCTCACTGAGGATTTTAAGGTCAATTATACTTTTGTTGTTAATTAGCATCTTTGTAAACTATAAGACATAGTTTTAATTAATAAATATTGCCCCCAGATTGTATTTATATTGCCCCCCAGGTTTTTTTGTTTTTTGTTTTTTGTCCTCTACCACACACTTAGCCTTTTATTTTCTGGGTCCTTTATTAAAGTTAGATGAAAGCCATTCCCTGGTCTCAGTTCAGCTCTCCTGAATGGACTCTGGTCCAGAGGGAGAACTGGGCGTTCCCTGAGCCTGTGTGGTGCCTGCTGCACATAGGGTGAGGAGTGAGTGCCAGACTGCCTGTCCTAGAGGGAGCCTCAGCGTGAACATAGGACGTGTTCAGGTGGACTCCTCAACTCTGAGACCCTTCTCAGTGTTGCTCTGAGTTCCTGTGCAGGTATATTTCTTTCTTCCTCATTAAACAGTCTTTATTAAGGGAGGTTATTCATAGAAGTCTTGTTTTTCCCCTATCCTGCTTTTTTTTTTTCCCCTGAAGGCTCACTATAGAACACAGAACCTTGGGAGATCAATTTGCACAGAACCCAGCATTTTTACAATTTGCCATTTCTCACTCATAATTTTCGGGTGTTTCCCCTTCCCTGTCTTTCCTTCTTTCCACCAGCATGGAGGAAAAACACAGACATGGCAAGTCTTTTCATAGCCCCAAATATGACTTTGTAGAGTTTTAAAATCCAGCACTTTAATCTCTTGTTCTTATGAATTGCTATTAGAGATGAATGATTTTAAAAGTTGTAATGCTGTGTTGGAAGTTGGTTTTGTGTTTGCCTTTTCTTTAAAAGGTAAGATCATGCGATTGGAAGAGCACAATACTTTGCTGTGTTTGGTAGAGAACTTGGCAGCTGAAGCTACCCCTACCTTTTGAGTGTTTAAGCCAGAATTTTCAGGGAAGGGCTAACTTAGGGAACGTTTCTGTGCTGCAGCATGAGGATGGGGGAAAATTGAATGGGCATCCATCAAGTTGGGATGGGAGGCTCTCATTTTCCAGTTGACATAGGAACAAGATCAGAATTCGGAGAGGGCTGGCTGGTTGGCTCAGTTGGTTAGAGCACGGTGTTATAACAAGGTCAAGGGTTTAGGTCCCTGTACCAGCCAGCTGCCAAGAAAACAAAAAACAAACCAGAAAAGAACTCAGACAGAGGGCAGTGTCAGCCCCCCTTTTGGCTGTCAAAGAACACAGCTCTAGTAGTAACCCACTTGGTTATAACCCAGGTGGAAGTAGATGCTATAAATTTGAGATGCCCATCCTTAAGAAACCCAGCAGACTGAGGAGATGGTTAGTGTGACAGCCTGAGCTTGGCAGTCAGTCCCCTTGACAAGCTCTCTCATAAAATGGAGCCCACTGTTTTTAACCATCCTGAAAACCTCAGGCTAACTTTGGATTCCAGAGCAATGCAGGACATCTGTGCAGCAAAAGCTGTACACTGTTCAGTGTGTGTTGCTGTGCAGGGTGCCTGTTGCAATAGGACACAAATACTGCTGTTTTAATTTGCTGTATTTTTGAATTGGGTAAAGCATTCTTTCTCTCGATCACTCGTATTACCATTCCACCCCTGTCCTCTAGCCTGCTCCCCAAATCTAATATTAGGAAGCCTCTTACCTGAAACCAAATGAACATTTAGGTTGGGTGCCAGATATTTGGTACTTAGGATAGTTTTCTCTAGGTGTCCGCCATCTTGAATTTGTGTCTTAGCTGTGTGTTCAAGTCTTTGTCATTTGAAACCAATTTTTCATATTTCAGATTCAGTTGTGTATGAGTTAATTTCCCTTAGAGTCTTTAGGCAGGAAGGGAAGAAAGGACACATATTTGTTCATCCCAATATCAGTATCCATTTTTGGCACATAAAGATTTTTGATGAACCCTGTTTGCATAGAGCCAGATCTTTCCCCTCCGCCTTCAAGAGTGTCTGCATCAGGGATGTGACTTGAGAAGAGTAAAGGGAGGAGAGGAAGAACCGAATTTTTAAATGACCTCCTCACCCAGCTTATTGAAATGGCTGCAGAGCAGACATAGGATGATGTTGAACCTTTGGTCTCATTTGTGACAACTTGTGCAATTTTTTTCTGTTCTACACTACATATGAATTACTGATTACAAATCACCCTTTTGTGATCCTTGGTGTAATAAGCAGTTGCTTTGGGGCTTTTTCTTTCTGGGAAGTGGGAGGGAAAGGAGCAAGGTGTCATCCTGCTCCTCATTTGTATTTTGGTCCCAAAATGTAAATACAATTTTCTATGTTACTTTTTTGTGGTAACTACCAAGATGAATATTTTAATTAGATAAGTTATATGAAAAGGAAAATTCCATGTCTAAATAAAAACCAAAACACATACCTGCGTCTTTCTTCTTTTCTTCCTTGTTTTGTTAGAGAATAAAAGTTGGCTACAAATGGCTGGTTCTTATGTTGTGAGGCAGAGATCTTAATCCTTGGGCTGGGCCTTAATGGATGTTGGGTTTCTTTTTTCTTTCTTTCTTTCTTTTTTTTTTTTGTCTTTTTTCGTGATCGGTAGGGGGATCGCAACCCTTGGCGTGGTATCGGCCGCACCGCGCTCAGCCAGTGAGCGCACCGGCCATTCCTATATAGGATCCGAACCCGTGAGCCACGGGGTTGGCCCTCTTTTTTTTTTTTTTAAGATGACCGGTAAGGGGATCTTAACCCTTGACTTGGTGTTGTCAGCACCACACTCTCCCAAGTGAGCTAACTGGCCATCCCTATATAGGATCCGAACCCGTGGCCTTGGTGTTATCAGCACCGCACTCTCCCAAGTGAGCCATGGGCTGGCCAGGATGTTGGGTTTCTGTTGATAGTGTAGCAGGACTAGGAAAGGGGAATTTCAGGGGGATAGAACCCTGAGAGCAAAGGGAGAGAACTCAGATATAACAAGCACTTGCTGGGACCAGGCATTGTCCTTTATTATACTTGGAACCCTGAGACTGTGGTATGAATCCCATTTTACTGTTAGAAACTACAGCTCAGTGGGGTGAAATAACATAGCCAAGGCACATGGCTAGTAAGTGGCAAAAGGAAGGACTGGAAACCCAGATTCTTTGACTGTAAGGTTTGTGCCAATCCAACTTTTAGTCTCTCCTTGTGGGTGTGAAGGGCCCAGGTAGGTCTCTTCACTGGCATCCTAATGAGGGCATAAAGAACACTAATGCAGAAAGATCCTGTCAGCAGGGACCTAACAAGAACCTGCTGTGTTGGTCCTGGCTGAGCTGCAGGAGTTTCAGCATCTGCTAATGGAGCAACCAACCCATGCATACATCAAGTGGTTTGGACCTTACATCAAGCCTGCAACGTCTCCTGCAACGTCTCCAGCAACACAGGTTCATTATCCCTCCTCTCTTAAAGAGGGCATTCTTGGTATATGGTCTGGATTTATTTTTCTCAATTCTTTACTGGATCTAGTTCTCACTGTTAGAAATTAATACGTATTCAAGTTAATTATGGATAGTAATATTTGGTGGCTGATTTTACCTGGAGTTCGTAAGTCAGTCCTTTGTCCCCTATTCATTAATTCAACATTTGCTGAGCCAGGACCTGTATTATACCGTGGGATACAGAGTAGCACACAGTTAAGTCTGGCGCTCCCAGTCCGGGAAGAGTAACTGACCTTACTGATTATGCACCTACTAGGTGCCAGGCACCATTCTGACTTGTATACACTGTCTTGGTTATCACAATGATCCTGCGAGGTAGGTAGTCATGGCCCCGTTTTAAAAATGAGAAAACTGGCTCGCCCCCATGGGGGCTGGAGAGCCCTAGTCCGAGCAGCCTGGCCTGTGCTCTGATACCGACCCTCCCCGGAGGCCCACCAGCGCCCCAGAGGACACAGAGAGAACGGTGTCACACGTGGCCTTGGGCTGGGCGCCATGGACGCCATGGACGCCTTCACCCGCTTCACCAACCAGACCCAGGGCGGGGACCGACTCTTCAGAGCCACTCAATACACATGCATGTTGCTTAGGTATTTGTTAGAGCCTAAAGCTGGCAAAGAGAAGGTGGTAATGAAGCTCAAGAAACTGGAGTCCAGTGTGAGCACTGGTCGTAAATGTTTCAGACTAGGCAATGTGGTACATGCTGTACAGGTGACTGAGCAGAGCATTCATGCCACTGACCTGGTACCCCGCTTATGCCTAACATTAGCCAACAGGCAGAGATCTTAATCCTTGGGCTGGGCCTTAATGGATGTTGGGTTTCTTTTTTCTTTCTTTCTTTCTTTTTTTTTTTTGTCTTTTTTCGTTATGAAATCTCCCTGCAGATGGAACGGATTGCACATGACAGGGCAAAGAGGGAGAAATCCCAGGATCCTCTTGGGCACAGTGTGGCTGATGAGGAACCAGAATGGCTCCAGTCCTTTCTCCTTCTCTTATTCCAATCTCTGAAGCAGCATCCTCCCTTGCTCCTGGACACAGTGAAGAACTTCTGTGATATCCTGAACCCTTTGGACCAGCTGGGGATCTATAAGTCCAATCCTGGCGTCGTTGGACTTGGAGGTCTTTTGTCTTCTATAGCAGGCATCATCACCGTGGTATATCCTCAAATGAAGCTGAAGATCCGCTAGGGTGTTTTTAGGCTGAGGACTAGTACTAGCTTTAAAAGATGGCTTCTTAGTGGAGTGGACATTTGCATTAGTCACAGACCATGTCATACTGTACTCGAGTTCTTGTTCACATGAACATTTAGGGGCCTGTGATGTGAGCAGAGGTGGGGCCAAGAATGGAGAAGCGGGAAGCATGATGATTTATGTATGTTTTTTAGAGTACTAGAGTGACTTCTGAATTTCTGAATATTTTCTCTTCATTTAACAATTATCGAGCATCTTTTATGTACGTAGTAGGAGCTAAGTGAATAAAAATTGAAAGGAAAAAAAATTGGAAAAGACCAATCAAACTAATAAGTGAACACTAATGTACAGTAAGCTTTGGGTTGTATGGATGATTGGTTTGGATGACTTCAGTAGGTCTGATGCATGGCACTCTCAGATCTGGTAGAGGCCCCTTTTTTCTCTGGCAGTCACTCCCCCACCCCCACCCCCAATAGATGTCAGTAGCAGGATGGAGGGGAGCTGGGCTTGTAGCCTCTGAACTTGTTAGCCCTACCATCCCTTCATTCCGTGGCCTTGCTCTGCTGCAAAGTAAAGTCAGAAAAGCATCAGGCTCCTTTGTGGTATAAATTGTGTCTACAGGGAGAGGTCTTTAGGTAGTGCAGTGAGAAAGTGAAAATTAGAAGCAGACAGAAGGGACTTGAAGTAAAAATAGGTGGAGAGTCACATGGATGCCTGTCTGTAGTCTGCGACAGGTAAGGAAAGTGATGCTGAAAAAAAAGGCAACCGAGGCCAGAACCTTATTCCTCTGATTCCCAATCCAGTGTTCTTTCCATGATATTTCACTGCCTTCATGATTGAGTAGTGTTTTTTAGAGTGCTAGAGTGACTTCTGAATTTCTGAATATTTCTCTTCATTTAACAATTATCAAGCATCTTTTATGTACGTAGTAGGAGCTAAGTGAATAAAAATTGAAAGGAAAAAAAAAATGAGAAAACTGAAGCACAGAGATTAAGGACTTGCCCAAGGTCACAGTCAGTGAGCAGTGGTACTGTGTGCTGGCCTGACTCCAAAGCACATGCTCTTAGTCACATTTACCAGTTCACATACAAATACACATACCCAGTTAAGCTTCTGAAGCAAAGTTGACCCCCCAATGCAAAAGATGCCTGGGCCAAGGCCATAGTCATTTCTAAGAATGATTTCTTCTGTCTACTGCATGTACCTGATGCCCAGCAGAATCCTGTACCTGGCTTATCACATTGATAAATGTCCCCATTACAGGATTTCCCATCCGCTTGAGTCTCTCCCTGGTTATTTGGCTCAACAGTGAAACGGTTTATCTTCAGAGGCCCCTGGACTTTGCTTTCTGTGATGGCTACTGTCTCAACTATGTTCAAAGACAAAGGAAAGTTCCAGCCATCAAAATTTTATATAGTTAGGGCCGGCCTGTGGCTCACTCGGTAGAGTGCAGTGCTGCTAACACCAAGGCCACGGGTTCGGATCCCATATAGGGATGGCCGGTTCGCTCACTGGCTGAGCGTGGTGCTGACAACACCAAGTCGAGGGTTAAGATCCCCTTACCGGTCATCTTAAAAAAAAAAAAAAAAAAAAAAATTATATAGTTATACCTGTGTTTCTCAAGCATAGAATCTCTGGGGTTGGGGTCCCAGAGTATGCATTTTTTAAAAAAATAAGCAACCCAATTGTTATGGACTAAATATGTTCCTCCAGAATTTCTATGTTGAAATCCTAAGCCCCAGTGCAAAGGTATTAGGAGGTGAGGCCTTTGGAGGTAAATAGGGCATGGGGGTGGAGGCTTCATGAATGGGATTCTCCCTTATAAAGGAAATGAGTTCCCTCTTCTTGTTCTCTGCTCTCCACTGTGAGAAGATAGAATGAGAAGAGGGCCCTCGCCAGACGCAGGTGCCTTGATCTTGGACTACCAGCCTCTAGAACTGTGAGAAATGTTTGCTATTTAAGCACCTAGTCTATGGTAGTTTGCTATAGCAGCCCAAACAGACTAAGACACCAAGTAATTCTTTAAATGTACACTGAAGTTTGAGAACTACTCCAGAGAATTTGCTACAAAGTGTAATAGCTCTTCACAGCTAGTCCATGGGTCAGGGCTAGGAAGCTTGTACATTTAGTCACTCAGCAAATACTGTGTTGTCCCCCACTCTGTGTCACTGAATAAGACAGACATGGCCCTTGCTTCATGCAGCTTTCATCTAGTGGGGGATACAGTAACCAAATAACTGCACAAATAATTTTTTTAAATTATGGATTTCTGGGGCCAGCCCGGTGGCGCACTGCTACAGTGCACCGCTTGGGAGCGCGGTGGCGCTCCTGCCGAGGGTTCGGATCCCACATACAGACCGGTTCCCGCTCACTGGCTGAGCGAGGTGTGGGAGCAACACTGAGGGTTGCGATCCTGTTGCCGGTCCCGGTCCGGAACGGGCGTGACACTGAGGGTTGCGATCTGTTGCCGGACACGAACAAAGACAAAAAGGAAAAAAAAAAAATATATGGATTTCTGGGCCTCACTGCAGAAACTGGTTAAACAGGTCAGAAGTAGAATCTGGAAATGAATACTCTTTTGTAGGCCTCTCCCAATAAGTTTGATGAGCAACCTGGTTTGGGCATGCCTAGTGTAGTAGAAAAACCATGTATGACCTTTTTTTAAAAACTTATTTATGCATTTATGTATTTATTTATCTTTTCCAAATCATGCATGACCTTTGAAGTGAGTTCAAATCCTGGCTCCACCACTCACCACACTTCTCTGAGCCTCAGTTTCTTCATCTGTAAAGTGAGGATACTGACACCCCATAGGAATTCTTATAAGGATTCACTGAGAGAAGGGGAGGTGAATAAATTGTGGTGTCCTTCCTTCATTTCTTCTAAATGTGGGACTAAAGGAAAAAGTTTGGGCTGAACTTTTTCTGAAACTTTTAGGGCCACAAATTAAGAACTATTTTGAGGTCAGCAAATCCTTCCTGATAACTGAAATCTTAGCCAGTATGGGATCTGAACCCTTGACCTTGGTGTTTTCAACACTGCGGTCTAACCAACTGAGCTAACTGGCCAGCCCTCTACCTACTTTCTTATCTCGGGGTCACAAACTCAAATACCAGGGTTTTGGTATAAGACAATGGGCGCAGTGGTGGGAACAGGAGGACGAGAGCTATTTACACAGCTCCACTTGACTGTTTCCAGGTGGAAGGCAGAGCCCAGTGTTGCCACATCTTCTGAGTTTTAAAGAAAAGGCACAAATCTAGACTTCTGTGTACATTTTCCCAGTTTTTAAAACCCTGTGCCACAACCATATGCAATATATCAGAAAACCTATATAAAGTAGATAATTTTCTAGAAAAATACCACTTACCAAAATTGACCCGTATAGAATTGACCCCTATGGAATTGGTAATTAGTCTGTTAAGGAAGAGATAAAGCAGTTGTTGAGCCTCCCTCTTAAGAAAGCTCCATGCCCAAGATGGTGTCATAGAGGAATTCTTTTAACCTTTAACGATCAGATAATACCAATTCTATTTACTATTCCAAAGCAAAGAAAGAGAAGAAAAATGCTATTGAAGCTAGTATAACATTGACATTAAAACTGGATAAAGATTGTACCAAAAAAGAAAATTACAAACCAATCTTATTTATGAATATTGATGTGACTGTTCTAAATATCAGCAGAGTCCAACAGCTCATTATTAAAACAAATAAAAAATCAAGCCCAGGTAGGGTTTGTTTAGGACTGGAAGGACAATCAGACTCTATTAGAATAGGCTAGGGTAGTAGATCTCAACTAGATATGATTTTGCCCCCAGTAAGACACTTGGCAATGTCTGCGGACATTTTTGGTTGTCACTGCTGTGGGGGTGCCATGGGCATCTAGTGGGCAGAGGCAAGGGAAGCTGCTAAGCATTCTACAGTGCACAGGACAGTCCTCCACAAAAAAGAATCATCCGGCCCAAAATGTAGATAGAGTCAAGGTTGAGAAACCCTGGGCTTGGTTATATCATAGTAACAACCCAAATCTCAGTGGCTTGAAACAATGAAGGTTTTACTGCATGTCCATTGTGGGTCTGAAGGGGATCTGCTTTACATCATCCTCACTCAGGGGTCCAGGCAAAGGGAGGCCCCATCCTCATGCTTTTAAGATTTTTGAGGCAAGTGAAGAATGCTCCACCAGCCCGTGAGCTATACCCAGAGTTACACTGTCATTTCCGTCATATTTCATTGACCACATCTAAATTCAAGGGGGAAAGGAAGTACAATCCATCCATATGCCTGGACACAGAGAAATGGAAATATTTGCTAACAGCACCAGAGACTCCAGAGGCAATCATGGCAGCCTGGGCTTTAGGTGACCCACAAAGCTGGAGAGCAGCGCAGCTCAGTGCACAGGCTATGGAGGTAGACCTAGCTTTGAATCCCACATTTCCTCGCTGTGTGCCCTCGATCAAGTCACTTCACCTCTCTTTGCCTCAGTTTCTTCTTCCAGAAATGAGGAAAATATATCAACCTTGCAGAGCTCCCATATCATGATTTGATGAGTTAAAACTTGTAATGTGCTTAGAACAGTGCCTGCCTGGCACACAGAAAGAGCTCAGGACAAGTTAGCCAGGATGATGAAGATCAATTAGGAGAGGCACCAAGCACGGAACAGGCATTTAATAAAGGGTTATTGTGTTTTGTTTTTTTTTTTTAAAGATAACCGGTAAGGGGATCTTAACCCTTGACTTGGTGTTGTCAGCACCACGCTCACCCAGTGAGCTAACCGGCCATCCCTATATGGGATCCGAACCCGGGGCCTTGGTGTTATCAGCACTACACTCTCCCGAGTGAGCCATGGGCCGGCCCAAGGGTTATTGTTATAACTGAATCTCTGAGGAAAATGCCTTGTCCAAGATAACAGCTGGTAAGTGCAGCATGGTGATTAAGAGCCTGAGCTCTGGGGGTCTCAGCCTAGCATATAGGAAGTACTCAGTCAATGTTAATTATAGTTCAGTTGGTTAGAGCACAGTGTTGATAACACCAAGGTCAAGGGTTCAGATCTCCTTACCAGCCAGCCACCAAACCAAAAAAACAAAAACAAAGCAACCTCCAAAATACATGTTAATTAATATTTGGAGGAGGTTCAGTGTGGTTACTGAACACGGACTCTGAGGCTGATTGCTTAGGTTCAAATCCTAGTTCCATGACTAACCACTTTTGTGACCTTGGGCAAGTTACTTAGCCTCTCTGTGTTCCAGTTTTCTCATCTATAAAATGAGAATAATAATAGAATACCCTCAATTATGAAGATTAAAAAATAATATAAGTAA